AGAGAATCATCAATCGGCTGCCTCCTGCATGCGCTCACTTGGGATCAAGCCCGAAACCCGGGTATATCCCCTGACTGGGAACTCAACCAGCGACCTCTTGGTTCCTAGGCTGACGCTCAACCACTGAGCCACACCCGGCTGGGCCAGAATATTCTGATGACGACTCATGACTGGCAAAATATTCAATGTCAAAGTAAAAGTAATTTTACAAAATTATTAATAAAAGAGCCCCTTACTTTAACTATTCAGGCCTTGGTTTTTCATGACATCTTTGGGGTTGGGAACAGGAAAATAAAATGCAAATTAAGTCATTTAAATACCAGGCTTTGTATGTACTCCATTATAAAATAAGTTACTACTAAAACTTATTTGCCGAGCACACTGCACCAGGCATACTTCATGTGCTTATATGTATTAACTCACCTAATTCTAATTATCGCTGAGGAAGGTTTCATGATTAACTCAACAGATGTTTAGAGACCCCTTACAATGGTTTGGGTACCATTCTAGGTGCTTAGGGGCCCTTCGGTGAAAAAAAGAGCCCCAGCTGGTTTGGCTCAGTGGATAGAGCGTCAGCCTGTGGACCAAAGGGTCCCAGGTTCGATTCTGGTCAAGGGCATGAACCTCGGTTGCAGGCTCTTCCCAGCTCAGGCCCTGGTCGGTGCACATGCAGGAGCAAACAATCACTGTGTTTCTCTCCCATTCATGTGTCTCTGTTCTCCAAAACCATGGGTGGGATCTCAGAGCCCCAGCCTTCTTCCCCTCTGAGCCTGGGGCTACCCTCCAATCCTTCCCAACCCAGCACTCCAGGGCTGGAAACCCAGACCATGTCCTCATCCCCTAATAATCACCAGTTCGCGCCACTGCCCACGCCTCACTCATGCCCTCCGCCTTATGCGGGTTTGCCCCCGGGGTGTAGAGTACACAGTGGTCCCCCTGATCCGAAGTCTGCTTTCCATGGCTTCTGTCAACCACAGTCTGAAAATACTAAATGGAAAATTCCAGAAATCAACAATTCATAAGTTATCAATGCACCCTGTTCTGGGTAGCGTGATGAAATCTCACGCTGTCCCGTTCTGTCCCCCAAGATGTAAATCGTGTCTTTGTCCGGCATCTGCACGTGATGCATATACAGCACAGCTCTGAGGGGCCAGTCACATACCTTCCATCACGGCGGATGGTTATAACCGGGCTATTTCATTACTAGGCATTGTTGTTCGTGTCTTACTGCCCTGAATTTATAACTTAAACTTTATCATAGGTATGTAAGTGGAGGGAAAAAAAGTAGCATACAAAGGGTTTGGTATTATCTGTGGTTTCAGGCATCCACTGGGGGTCTTGGAATGTACCTCCCTTGGATAAGGGGGGGACTACTATAGATGTCCAGGGATCCACAAACAGGATCATACATATTCCATGTGTGGGAAGAGCAATTTAAAAAACAAAGCAGTTTTGACAGTTTCCCACCTCTAGTTCATCAGCATAAGTTATCCTGTGTCACAGATTCTCACTCAAGTTTCAAAAAAAGGTAACCAAACAGGCCTTTAGGCTATGGAATTGCTAATGTATTATCTAACACACAGGGATATATACATCTATTTTTATTCTATTTATTTATTTTAAATCTCCAGTCTGGGAAGTTTAAAACACCCATCCACCCCACCATCTCCCATCCCCCATCCCTCCATACACATTTTCTATGTGTAGGACTTTTTAAGGATAGTTTCACCGAAGAAAAAGGGAAAAAAGGGGGGCAGGTCCCGGGAACTCATAAACCGCAGGTGTGAACGGCTGTACAACACAGGGGGTGGGGGCCGGGGATGAGTTCCAGGAACAGTCAAAACAAGCAGACTTCACACGCAGAGGCGGCCCAATGAGAGTGACAGGCTGAGTTTGGAGCCCAAGGACCCCAGCGAGTACAGAGCGGAGGGCTCGGTGGCTGAACGCGGACTGCCAGGCTCAAAGGCACTAGCTCCCTGCATGAGGCGCTGACGTGCGGACAGATGGCTGTGGCCTGAGGAAGCCCCATGGGAGCGACCACGCACCCTGTTTATCACTAAGGGATTCAGCAGCACCTGGGACAGTGCGCTGATCTGAGTCAGCGTCGTCCCATCCAGTGAAGCCTCTTTATGCAAATAAACCACCTAGCCCGGCTGGTGTGGTTCAGTGGTTGAGCGTCGACCTATGAACCAGGAGGCCATGGTACGATTCCCGGTCAGGGCACAGGCCCGGGTTGCGGGCTCAATCCCCGGGGTGGGGCGTGCAGGAGGCAGCCGATCCATGATCCTCTCTCATCACTGATGATTCTTTCTCTCTCTCCCCCTCTCCCTTCCTCTCTGAAATCAACAAAAATATATTAAAAACAAACAAAACATGTGCGATAATAATCCCTTTAAAGCCCAAATGATTCGAGAGTCAACAATTCTGAATGCCTTTCAAGAAAAACCTAATAATTCTCTACAGATTCCACGGCGTGAAATCTGGGCTGGGAGGGCTGGGCTGGCGGTGTGGGCGGTGATGGGGCACGTACCTGCTGTCTGTTCTTGGGCATGTGCGGCAGCATGGTGGACACGTGGAACATGAGCTCGTAGTCTTTGTACGTGGTGTAGAGGGAGTGCGTCCCCGTAGAGTCGGCTAGAGACAGACAATTACAAAACAAGTCAGGCAACTGGACAGTGAGCGCTCGGACACCGAGAACGTCATCCTGACAGAAGGCGGTTCCACTGGAGAAACAAACCACTCAACTACACACAACGGCGTCTTGATGGTCCCCTGCGCTCTCTCATCCCCTGTGTCTGCTGATCTCCCACCAGGTCTGCAGCCCTCCCTGCTCTCACCACGTGCCTGAGCCCTCGGCTCCCCGTTCTGCACTCTCGCCACCTGACTCAGGAGACCCCCTGCAGGGGTGAGGAGCTTCCGCCCCGAGGAGCAGTCATTCTTGCCCATCCTGTGAGCGTGTGCGTGTTTCCAGCCAATTCTTAGCTAGACCCCGGGAAAACCAAGGCCATCTCAAGGCAGCAGGCCAGTGCCTCAGGCGTGGGTGGTGGTTTGTGGGTAAGAGGAGTTTGCCAAGAAAGAAAGAAAGAAAATCAGAAAAGGCCTCACTGAACTTCAATAAAACATGTGGATACGCAGTGGGGGTCTAAATGATTTCCTTATCTTCATGTATCTGAGGCGAGAGCAACACGCATTCAACGTCACAGCCCAACCCCAACTCCGGTGAGTGTGGAGGCCACACAGGGGCCCACACGTGAGCTAACACGTCTCCAGGACATGTGATCTGTCCTCTCCGTGACCTTCAAACCCAGACCTGGTGACGGGTACGAAGACCTGGCACCACCCTGAGGTAGGCGAGTCCCAGTGACAGCCCCATGAGTGGACGCCAGGGGCGGGGAGCTAGAGGCCCCAGGCCATCTGAGTCCCAGAGCCAGCTTGCTGCCGCCCCCACTCATCCCTAGGGGGCGGGCTGGCCGCTTTCCCAGACCCTGCCCTTCAGACTCTACTTGCTCCTCTCTCATGAAAAGGACAAGCAATCCACTGCTTGGTAAAAAGCAGAATTTTCCCGAATACATCCAATTCCCCTGCCTGCTATCGTAGCTGCAGAACAACTCAACAGCAGCACAAGCATGCGGCCGGAATATTTAGAATATTCTACATTGGAGGACCTAACTCAGTGGTTCTCAACCTTCCTGATGCCACGGCCCTTTAATACAGTTCCTCATGTGGTGACCCCAACCATAAAATTATTTTCGTTGCTACTTCATCACTGTCATGAATCGTCATGTAAATATCTGATATGCAGGATGTATTTTCATTGTGACAAATTGAACATAATTAAAGCATCGTGTTTAATCACAAAAACAGTAATTATAGATGTGTTTTCCGATGGTCTTAGGCGACCCCTGTGAAAGGGTCGTTCGACTCCCGGAGGGGTCACGACCCACAGGTTGAGAACCGCTGATCTAACTGAGGCTTTGAGAAAAATCGCACATTAGTGGCCAGAAACCCGAGCTTTCAATCGGCCCGTCCACCTTCACAACCCACAGGTTGAGAACCGCTGCTCTAACTGAGGATCCGAGACAAATCACACATTAGTGGCCAGAAACCCGAGTTTTCAATCGGCCCGTCCACCGGGCACCCGAGGCGCCTGATGAAGGTCCCTGAACTGGATCATTGGCTTTTCCACGGCAGCTCTGACTCCCGAGTTAAAATCGTGAAGCCAGAACGGGACCGTGTTCACATTCTGACTGTCAGGAACGAGTGGAGCGCTCGTCCTTGGTGAGCCTGAGCAGGGAGTCGGTTAAAAGGAAGAAGAAAACAGTAAAAGGTTCTCCCTGCTGGCGTGACAGGGGAAGAGCTGGTCCCCGAGCGCGTGAGAAACATACACCTGGAGGAAGGTGCGTCCCACGCACGTCGGAGGAAATCTACATTGACCCCAAACCAGCTGGCCCGGCAGCTCCTGGGGTGCAGGCCGGGGGGCACGTGACCGCTGGCATAGGTGTCCGGGGCGGCCCCCCTGGGAGAATGGGACGCCTGCCGACACGAAGCTTACTTTTATTGTCCAGTTGAGCCCGGTACTTGCTGAACCCTTTGAGCCGCACGCGCTGGCCCAGCAGGTCGAGGAACTCCTCAAAGGCCGGGCCGGCCGTCTCGTTGTTGTACATCTCCTCCTCCGTGCCCTGGCCGGCCCGGCAGTACAGGATCCCGATCTTGTGCTGGAAGCTCAGCTGAAAGGGGAAGCAGTGCGGTTACTCATCACGGAGCTCAGACATGCTGACTCCCAGGAAGACGAAAACGGTAGAAGCTGAGCGTTCAGCCCTCAGGAAGCCTGCGGGACGGGGCCCTTGAGCAAATGAGCAAAAGAAGAAGTAACTGTGCGACCCCGGCCTGTGTGGCTCAGTGGTTGAGAGTCGACCTATGGATCAGGAGGTCACGGTTCCATTCCCGGTCAGGGCACATGCCCGGGTTGCAGGCCCGATCCCCAGTGTAGGGTGTGCAGGAGGCAGCTGATCCATGATTCTCTCTCATCCCTGACGTTTCTCTTTCTCTCTCTCTCTCTCTCTCTCTCTCCTTCCTCTCTGAAATCAATAAAAGTATATTAAAAAAAAAAAAGCAGCAGCAGTAAATGTGGTTGTACAAACGGCCCCAAACCCAGGAACCCCGAAATACCATGGAAGAAAAGGCAGCAACCCTGAGAAATTATGTCAGGCATGGCCGCGTGGGGTCCGCCAAGTTTCCAAAATGAACGGAATGAACTACTCAAGCATCCACTCCAAACTGTAACTGGGAATCTTTCATCCTGCACCCGCCACAGATTAACGAGCGTTATCTTCCCAGTCGGGAGGAAAAAAGGCCACAGACTTTTAAAAGCTTTCCGTCGCTGGCTCCTAACATTCCCTTTTTGTTGTGATTTGAGCCATCATAAAAATATGAAATATGAAAGGCTGCAGTAAGAAAACAAATCAAACGAAGGCCGGGGAAGGCCAGCGTCCCAGTGGGCACTGTGATATATGCATAGAAACAGAAAACTGTTTGGTTTCCATGAAAGTGACTCTGCCCGCGCAATTAAAGTCATTTCTACATTTCGACTATCTTGCAAAGAAAACATCTGTTACGTATACAAAGGCCGCGAGGAATGTTAATAGCGATTGAAGAGTTCCGGCTGTAACCCTATCCCGGGCGCTCCCGCGGGTGGGAGCACAGGGCGGCTTTCTCCCAGGCTGGGGGGGCGGAAATGAGAGGGACCCCTTCTCCCTGGCGGTATCAGAGCACTCAATCTCCCTCGCAGCAACCTGAGCCTCAGGAACTGACAGATCCGCAGACGCGGCGATTCTCTCCAGCCGTCAACCCGTAACGCACTCGCTTTTATTCCCTCGCTGGACAAGAGAGCGGCGGATCGGAATTCATAGCTGACTCGATCAGTGAAACGAGGCAAAATGAGACTCGACTCCGTTACCTAACGACGACAGACACACCGGGAGAGTGGGGGGGACACTCCGGGGTGGTGAAGGCCGGGAGGAGGGGGGGCGATGCGGACTGGAGGGGGCCGATGGGGGAAAAAAGGGGACATCTGTAATACTTTCAATAATAATATTAAAGAAATAGAAGGCAGCATGTGCTGGACCCAGAGAGAGGCATTCTGGGAAAAAGCAGCGAGAAAAGGAGTCCAGGTGCCAGGAAGAAACGATCCGAAAGGAAAGGTGGATGGGAAACGGCAAAGCATTGAGAGACAGACACCCCCGCTCAGCCTCACAGGACACGCACCCCCCCCGGCCTCACAGGACACGCACCCCTTGCTCGTCGAGCTTGAGCAGCTGCTCGGGGACCCTGGGGGAGCTGGCGGCCTGCCGCAGGCACTGGATGTTCAGCTCGGGGATGACGTACTCCAGCACCTCCTTGAGGGGCAGGCCCCGCGCGGTGCCGTGCCGGGCCGTGGAGGGGACCGCGTCTTCCAAAATCGCTCCTCTCAGCGTTGTGAGCTGCAGGGGCGACACACGAGACCTCAGTTAATCTCTTTGTTAAAATATATTTTTACTGATTTCAGAGAGGAAGGGAGAGGGAGAGAGAGAGAGAGAAACATCAATGATGAGAGGAAATCATGGATCGGCTGCCTCCTGCACGTCCCACACTGGGGATGGAGCCCACAACCCGGGCATGTGCCCCGACTGGGAATCGAACCATGATCTGGTGCATGGGTCGGTGCTCAACTACTGAGCCACGCCGGCCAGGCCATCCATGGCAGGTTTTCAATTTTATTTTTTTAAATAAAAAGGTGTGGACACTCCGTTTCAATGATCTGAAGTGTTGTAACAGTTCTCATTAAGAAACCAAGGCGGTACTTTTCTGAAACAACCGAACGTGTGGCATCCCAGGCTCGGCCCAGGACTGTGGCCACAGGGCACCGTTACCTCGCTCGTCCTGAACGCCACCCGGTAGTTGAACTGCGACGCCTCCTTCTCCTTGGCGTCCTCCACCTTCTCCCTCCGGATGCTGACGGCCACGGGGCCCAGGTGCTCGTCGATCCCGAAGTAGTTCTGGTGCTCTGCGAGGGAACAGCGCGTGGTCAGAGGACGGGCAGGGCGCCTCGTGGCTGGAGCACCCACTCTGAGAAACCACAGGCTTCGGGGACACCGCTCCCCACATGAGTGATCATACCTGGTTTCCAAACCCAATGTGCTTCACATGTCACTTTCTTTCCTTCTTTTTTTATTTTTTTAATATATTTTGATTGATTTCAGAGAGGAATGGAGAGGGAGAAACATCAATGAGAGAGAATCATGGGATCGGCTGCCTCCTGCACACCCCACACTGGAGATTGAACCCACAACCCAGGCATGTGCTCTGACCAGGAATCGAACTGTGACCTCCCAGTTCATAGGTCGATGCTCAACCACTGAGCTATGCTGGCCGGGCTCATTCTGTTTCTTTACTGGGACAAACAGTGAAATCAGGGTGGGGTCTCACAAGGGAGGCAGGTTCTGAAAAGCTGCTGGGCGCCCTGCAAGACCAGCAGCAAAACACAGGACGTTTCTCAGTGAACGGCCACGTCAAGCATGAATTCCTCTTCCCAGGGAAGCCCAGCGCTCAGGATCCTAGAGGGTACAGTCCTGGGCACGTTCCTAGAAGGCTGTGGGATGGGAACCGTGGCCTCCCCATCACAGGAGAGTGGGAGGGGGCTGGGGGCCAGCCCGTCAGCCCGAGCGTTTCCCAGGGCGGTCACAGGGATCGGACAATAAGCCACCAGGCTGCCGGTTGCGTGTGGCTGGGCAGGGCCTCCCCGCTAAGGGCCCTGGACATCAATGGGGCTCTGCTTACGGAGGCGAGATGGCCGGGCGGAGGGGTAGGCCTGAGTCGATGTGTCCGCTGGGGGAGGAACTTGCATCTTAGGACAGTCCTTCCGTTAGGAATAGTTCCCCCCATTGAATGTAATAGGGTCCAACGCCCCCCACTGAATGTAATAGGGTCCAACGCCCTATTACTGTTCTTCAGTGACGGTATGAAACCAGGAGGAGGAAAAAGAAGCCACCAGGCGTGAAATCGAAAGCAAGGCGGCCTGCACCTGCAGCAGGGGGGTCCCTGGGTCTGTGGGGTGCACCCCGCCCCTGGTGGCCTGTTAGCGAGACTTAAGTGAGCGGGAAACCCTTCTCCAGGCTGCTTTCCCCGGGGCCCACCCGCCATATGGTTCACTCAGCTCTGCCTCCTTTTATCTGTTATCCATTAGAATAAAGTAGCGCCTTTCCGATCCTGCACCAGCGGCGTGCGCAATGGTTTCTTGGGAGAGAAGTTTACTTAAGAGCCCCCTGGGCGCCCGGAAGATACGTGCTCAGTGCTGGGCACTCATGGTGCTGGGTCCCCTAGAGGAGGTGTTTTTACTTTGATCCCATTTTACAGGTAATGAACTGAGGCCCAAAGCCAGGACCTGTCCCTGACGGAGCTGGCACGTGAACCCAGGAACCGGACTTTTCCGAACAGCCTGCACATTTCCTCAAGTGAGGCCGCCTTGCCCGCCAGCCACAGGCCCCGACCACCGTGAGGGTGAGGGATGCTCCTGCTGACTGCAGCCAGCAGCGCCCCAGCCACAAGGCAGAGGTGGGTGCCAATAAGGGTGAGAGGAAAGCCCTGCCGGCGTGGCTCAGTGGGTTGAGCTTCGACCTATGAACCAGAAAGTCAGGGCTCCATTCCCGGTCAGGGCACAGGCCCGGGTTGCGGGCTCGATCCCTAGTATGGGGCGTGCAGGAGGCAGCAGATCCATGAGTCTCTCTCATCACGATGTTTCTCTCTCTCTCTCCCTCTCCCTTCCTCTCTGAAATCAATACAAATATATTTAAAAAAACAACAAGAATTTCAACCTGCCTGCATCCCTGAAATCTTGTGGAAAGAGGATGGGACGGAGGAATCAACGTTCTCACGCTGGCATAGCTTTGTAAGAAACAGAGAAGAAAGGAAATTGCAGGAGCAGGAAAGCACCACAACACAGGCCTCTGAAGCAGCGGGCGGCGGGGAGAGAGGTGGCTAAACCACGGCCTCCTCGACACGTGCACACCCCGATCTGCCCTGTGAAACCAATCCGGCTCCCCTACAAAGGATTCTGAAAGATCCGCACTTCTTTTCTCAGGCTCGTTAATAGAAAATCCCAAGAAAGAGATGAGTCAGGCACTGGGCCTTCTGCAGAGCGCACAGGGGACCCAGGGCACCGCGGCGTGTCACAGCCGCTGCAGCTTAGCCAGCAGGTTTCGGGGGAATTCCACGCAATGTCTGTGCATTTCCGGGAGGAGAAGACAGAGAGGAGATTGGAAAGCGTAACAATAACCCCGCCCCGAGGCGCTGAGGGCAACTCTCACGGCGGAGCAGGAGGGAGACGAACAGGACCGTGCAAAATGGACCCTTCTTTGATCCGACTCTATTGAATACACAGGGGAGCCGGCTGCTCACAGGAATTCAGGGACAGTTCGATGAGGTAACAGCACTGGAGCGCTGGCTTTTTAAGAACTGGGTACAACTTCTTTTCTTATTTTAAAGATTCTCATCATAACATGCCTGACTTACATTAAAAAATGTTCACGAGCTGTTTTTAAATGGTTGGTTTACAGAAAAGCTGCAACGGTTGTCAAGGCCTCCTCCCCCCTCCCCCGGTCACCCAGTAGTTAGCACCTCACACCACGCTGGCACTTTGGTTCAGTTCTTGGACCCGCACTGACATGTCACCACGAATGAACTCTGTACTCTACTCGGGGCCCCTAGCTTTTTCCTGAGGTCCTTTTCTCTCCCGGCTACGGGGTGCCCGCTGCTCAGACCTCCCTGGTTCCCGGTGACCTTGGCCGTCCTGAGGGCTGAGCGGGGATCTTGTAGGATGCCCCTCAGCTGGGATTTGCCTAACGTTCTCCCTAATCAGGCTGAGGTTCCCATCGTATCTTACCCTGTGAGCGCACCTACAGGCGTGGAGGGAAACTAACGCTGTCTGTCACGCTGATCATATGTTCTTTCAACAACAATTTAACTCTCCCAATGCATCCCACAGCCCAGGAGGGACTGTGAATGCATACAATAGGAAAGGTGAAGCAGAGGTTCCGGGGAAAAGGACAGGAAAGGCTAGAGGAAAAACCGGACAGCTATCTACTGGAAACAGCGGGAGAGATTGCCCCGAGAAATCGGAGAGGGACAGAGTGAATTGGGGAAGTCGTCTTAAAAAGCGTAAATCTCGCCCGGCCGGTGTGGCTCAGTGGTTGAGCGTCAACCTATGAACCAGGAGGTCATGGTCTGATTCCGGTCAGGGCACATGCCCGGGCTGCGGGCTCGATCCCCAGTGTGGGGCGTGCCGATCAATGATTCCCTCTCGTCACTGATGTTTCTCTCTCTCTCTCCCTCTCCCTTCCTCTCTGAAATCACTGAAAATATATTTACCAAAAGAAAGCGCAAATCTCCATCAAGTCTAACACTGTGATTCTCACAAACTGGCTGAGAAGAAGAAAGAGGCCTTTGCACATGGGGGACCAGAAATCAGCAAAGGCAGGAGATGGGGTGTCTAGAGAGGGGACTGGTCTAGAGCGATGGGAACCAGCCGTGGACAGCGGCCTTGGGGGAAAGAGCTGCGTCCCTTGTCCCTCCCAAGCGGCCCTGAAGGATGCTCGCTGGGACGTCCGTTCGCCCGCACGCCGGGCCCCTCACCTTTCCCGTAGAAGAACTTGCGGTAATAGTAGGCCCCGAGGTCAATGTGCTCGATGATGTAGCGCTTGACCTTCTCCCTGTGAATGGGCTGGTTCTCTCGGGGCACCTCCAGGACCGACACGCCCGCGTTCGTGCAGTGAGAGCTGAGGGAGGACTCGAAGGAGCAGTTCTCCCCGGAGCCGAGCGAGGACGAGCTGGCCCGGGACAGCGCGATCCTCCGGTCCCCCTCCCCGCCCGTCTCATTCCTAAAGTGCGGGCAGCTCAGGACCAGGTCGTTGCTCTTCCCGTCGCCCTCGTCGGCGTCCAGGTTCTCTTTGGAGTTGAGGTCCTCCTTGCTGCCCAGTGGGGATTCGCAGGTGCCCGTCGGGCCCGCGGGCGCCGGCGTCTGGGAGGCCGCGGAGGCCCCGGTGGTCATGTTCTTCCTCTTCCCCACGTTCGCCCGCGTGGCCATGGCTTCGTTGATGTTAAACAAAATGCTCTGGACGTCGTAGTGTGCAAAACAGCGCTGGCAGCTCCAGGGACGGACGCCCCGTTCCGGACGGCTGTCGTCCAGGTCCGACGTGAACTTGAACGTCTCGTGTTCGCTTCTCACCGTGCGCAGCTTGCGGAAGAGGGACGTTTCCACGGACTCTGACTTCAACCTTCGCTTGAAAGGCTTGTCCCGGTCCCTGCCCCTGAGGAAGGCACCGTCCACGTAATCGAATCCTGAGATGCGGACGAACTCTCCGCGGGAGATCTGCGCTGCGGCGTGGAGGCTGGGCGACACGCCCGGGTCGCAGGAGAAGAAACCGGGGAACCCGAAAGGGGCCGCAGCCTTGTGGTCGTAATTCTCTACCCGGTACCCTCGGAGCATCGCGAAGAAGTTCTCCCCGGACAGGCCCTGCCGGTCGATGGAGGAGGTGCTCCCGTACTCCCGGTGCAGCGCCGCGCCCGTGTTGGGGTTCACCGCGTTCTGGTCTAAGACGTCCTCGGTGTCGATGTCGCTGATGGTGACGTCACTGTTGCTCCTCTGTCTTATGGGGTGCAGTCCCCTGTGGGGGGAGTGGACAAAGATGTCCCCAGCGGTGTACTTGGCCTCCGCAAAGTCCAGCTCGAGCTGGTCCTCGGGATGACCGTCGCCCTGGCCGTTCTGCCCATTGTGCACGATGGAGGCGACGCTGTCGTAGCTGCCCTGGGACTGGCCGCCCCACAGCGCCTTGCAGGCCAGCTCCTTGGGGCAGTCCTTCTTCGGAGGCCACTCCGACACCCGGGCCCGCACGCCCATCTTGGGCACCGCGGGGGTGCCGTTGGCCGGGCCACCACTCTCACTGGCACTGGAGACGCCGAAGGGAGCGGCGGGGGCCAGGCTCCCGTTGATGGCTTTGAACTTCCGAGCGAAGTAATCGTCCGACTGCATGGCTCTGGGCGGGTCCTTGAACTTGGAAGGGGCCCTGCCCAGCTTGTGCTTCTCCTCCTGCGGCTGCCGCGGGTCGCTCATGGCGGCGGGCAGAGCGCCGCGTCTCAGCGGGAAGACGGCCGCAGAGCCAGTCACATGACTACTGGGCCTCGGCACGCAACGCAGAGACGAGGCTTCTCCTAGGGCCGCCCTTGCTCTTGCTCCCCAGAAGCACACAGCATCCTCAGATCGCGGTTTCTCCGGCCCCGACGTGCGTCTCAGGGATATTTCCTACGGCTCCGCGCTTTTCAAAAGGATCCCTCAGACATCCGGCCGGGAGTACTTCCTTCGCCTGAATGACAGAACAGGAAACAGCGTTAACGATTACAGCTCAAGCCCAACACGGGCTACATGCGGTTTCTCACCTGTCCTCTCCCCGCCTCCTGCCTACCTCTGATTCCTCCAACGTCATGAAGTTGCGTCTCCCTGCCCTGCTGCCCATCGGCTCCTCCTGCGGGCACGCTGCCCGCACCGCCGACCTGGCTGATGGACGGCACAGCACATAGTCTGCAGGAGCGTCTCAGGGCCTGCCCGGGGCATCTGCAGCCCCAGCCGCCCCGGGGCAGAGCTCGCCCCCTCATCTCACAGCCCCTGTCTGCACCGACCAGCACAGTGTCCTCATCTTCCGAATGTCTAGTTTACCCAGTGGCCTCCTCCATGGCTAATTTCAAGCTCCGCTCCCTGGGAACTATGCCTTGCATCTCTGTGTCATGTTACCAAATGATGTAGCCTGGCTTAATCCGGGTCAGCAAGCAACATTTCAATCAGGTATCTTGAGAGTAAGGCGATGGGCGGGCAACTGCTAGAGTATTACCAGCGAGTCTTTGAGACCAGTGTTATAGTCAGTTATAACTGAGCCGCTGGTCAGGACTGCACCTGCAGCAACTGGACTGGAAAACCACAAAAGGCACCCATTATGAGCCCCATTACAGAAAAAAAAAACGGTTAAAATTACATGGCAGACTTATCATAAAGCATAACTACCGTAAAAATGTTTCTTTTCCATATCACAGCCCATCAGCTCGAATACTAACGTGCACAATTGGGCAGGGAATAAAAAAGAGGAACAAGCCATCCCACAGTCACTGTCTCGGGGCCAGGGAGGTGAGCGAGGAGTGAGGAGTGCTCCCCCGAAGGCCTGCTCACCTGAAATGCACTCCCCATAAAATCCAGGTATATTCTGCCTGGTACTGAGTGAAGCCCTGGCTGTATAGCTATAAAACAATCCATTAACTCCCACTCGCCTCACAGCAGACGACTAACTATGAGACAGTTTGATAAGTGGGCTATTATTAAGTAACAATGGCCATAAATGGATATAGATGTTCAATAATAATCACACTGCTGACTGCTTTTGGCAGATTCGGACATGAAAATCAGTTCTTAGGCATTTATCACGGACTAAACATTGGAGCAGCACCAAAGATAAATATCTGGGGGCGTGAGAATATTAAGAAAGAGCAAAATCCTCCTCCTTGGACTTTTATAACACAGGGGTAACCTATGACGCGTGAAAGAACATAAAGTATTTTCTTGGTGCCCTAGCTGGTTTGGCTCAGTGGCTAGAGCATCTGCCTGCGGACTGAAGGGTCCCAGGTTCTATTCCAGAGAGGAAGGGCGAGGGAGAGAGAGATAGAAACATCGGTGATGAGGGAGAATCATTGGTCGGCTGCCTCCTGCACGCCCCACACTGGGGATCGAGCCTGAAACCCAGGCACGTGCCCTAACTGGGAATGGAACCGTGACCTCCTGGTTCATAGGTCGACTGTCAACTACAGAGCCATGGCGGCTGGGCTAATTGCTCATTTTAAAGTCAATTCATTTATCAGTATTCATTCATATATAAGAAAATGTTATAAAATTCATAAATCCGATTTTTCAGCTAATATTTTTAGAACTTTTGCTACAGAAAACAGGGAGGTAAACACGTTGCATCCAGATCTCATTGGATCTTTACAATGACCTATTGAAGTAGGTATAATGGTTGCCATTTTACAGCTGGGAACTGAGGCCCAGGAGAGAAGTAACTCTGCCACGGTCTCACCCGGCAGGTGGCAGAGCCGGGAACCCTGCCGAGGGCCCAGGTGCAAAGACGCAGCTCTGCCTCCACGGCACTTCGGGCGTGGAGGAAGTTAGTGACCAGCGAACAGGCTGCTGTAGTATATGTATTTCTCCTACAGCAGATGGTCAGAGAAAAGGTGCATATGCCTAGGGGCCTAAATTAAGACACCTCAGGGCCCACGCTAAGGTTTGAGAGGAGCCCAATATATGAGCTGAGATCTGTCTAAAAACTCCGTTATTGCCCGGCCAATGTGGCTCAGTGGTTGAGCATCGACCGCTGAACCAGGAGGTCAGGGTTCCATTCCCGGTCAGGGCACATGCCTGGGTTTTGGGCTTGATCACTAGTAGGGAACGTACAGGAGACAGCCGATCGGTGATTCTCTCTCATCATTGATGTTTCTATCCCTCTCTCCCTCTCCCTTCCTCTCTGAAATCCACAGAAATATCTTTTTAAAAAATGAGCAGTTAAAACGAGTAAGAGACATAACAGCTATCTGCAAGGAGCGCAGTCATGTTTGGAAAATAAACTGTGGTGACGGCTGATGTATGTGAGAAGCAGAATGGCAACACAGAGCAGTAGTAACTGACTCGCAGCAGTTAAGCTGATTCTGCAGGAGGCCCACAGAAGCTTCCAGAAGGTGAAAGAGATGCCCAAAGCAATCACCCGGCCGGCGCTGGTCTCTTCCCAGAGAGGTCTTCTATTTAGATTCTTTTAGGACCGTCACTGTATTATAATGAGATTATCATGGAGCTTATAACTTTCCCGAGTGTCAAAAAACCGGA